AATTCATTCGCCAGGGGGAAGATGGGTCTCTGTGCACTTCATAGTGGTCTGGTGCAAGATAAGAGGGTTCATGGGGGTGTTTCACTCGGACCTATTCTCAATAAGACAGATAAGTTGAAGGAGGTGGTCAGGGAAGATTATATGAATGAAGATCTCATCAAGGTAGGAGGCAAGGTTTGTCCAAATCTCAAACAATCTGCAGTCAATGAAGCAGAAAAACCATTGGCATCATTGGTTCTCGTTCCCGAAGGTAGGGTGCACGGTGGAAGTCTATTAGCAATGCTTGCTTGCAGCTCGGGGCTGGGGTCAAGCAGTAGAAATGCAGTTTCTGGTCCTGAGCAGCCACTGGAACCTCACATCATGCCTCGTAGTTGGGTGTGAAGCAAGCCTCGCTCTTCCTTATATGTCCATCTGGTGTTAGGAGTCGGTAATGTTGGTCTTCTTTCTCTCTGTTTAGTATCTGTCAATTATAAAGCTTGTTATTTATTGGTCCAAATGTAAAGACTCCTTGAGAATGCTCTATATTGAGGGGGCAAATTCTAAGTATTGGGTTGTTGGGTTGTTCTTTCTTGTATATATGCTTAGATAAATGTATGTCGAACAGGCTATCAATACAGGTCAACAACCTGTAGGTTTGTTAATGTTGTCATTCTGGTTATGGTCAGCTTTTTTTCTTTGCTCATATTTTTATCTCTACTCTCTTACCCTCTCTAGGTCATCCTCTCTCCTCATCATGATCATTGATCTTTTAGGCCTAGTTTCATTCTGTTTCTAAAATTTATGCTCGTCTTTTTTTTTCTTCTTCTTTTTCTCTATTTCTTGTATTTGAATTCTTATCGAAATTTCAAAGACAAAAACAACTCTTTGGAAACGACTTTTAATTTTCAAAATTTGGTTTAGGCTTTGAATTTTATTTTAAAGAACAAATAGTGGTTGTAAGTTTAATTTTTAAAAACATGCTAAACGGACCACTTTTTTCCCTAAAATGTTAGCATAGACATTTGTCCATTTAAATGATAATCTACTCATTAGAATATTAGATTGTAGATTCTCTCTTTTTTTTCTTTTTTTCTTTTTTCCTTTTTCTTTTTGAGTTCAACATGTGGAGTGATTTTTGATAGAAGATGTCTCAAACTGTTTTGCTCAAGTTGTCTATTAGGTTGTGCAATAGATGGTAGATTGTACAAGTAAAATAATTGTAGATAATATATAATAAAAATACATTAAGTTATAAGTTATATAACATGAAGATATTGTTAGGCTGAAAATTTAGAGTGAGCTGTGATGACTGGTCTTAGGAAAGGTTATAGTGATTTGACAAGCCTAATTTGTGTAAACAGCTGTAATTGTGCAACAATAATTTCCATTGATGGAAACTAATATGGCTTCTGATACATGTTTTTTTGTGTCTTTTCAAGTTAAAGAATAACCTCTTCTTTCACAACAATTACATCTGCAATCCAAACCCATTTTACTTCATCCCCTCACATCAATATCTCTGTAGATGAAACTTCAGCTAATGACCAATATCTTTGAACTTGGCCATCTTGGAAAGCTCATCCACAGTTTCAACCAAATAGTCAAGCCTAGCCACAAACTCAATCAGCAAGGAAGTGAAATTGGCCAATGACATAGCTGCACTACTCTCCAGCTTCCTCATCCTCGGCGAAAACTCGACTACAACACTCCCACCTTCGTCGAGAGCACCGACTTCCAACGATGGCCACGAATGCTGCCTTCTCGACTGCTTCCTCCCCAGCTCAACACAAGCCTCTGCCTGAGCTGCCCCTGCAGCCACGACGTCAAGCTCATTTGGGAGATCGTGGAGGCTGCTTGATGAGGTGGTCGAGAGCTTGGACTGAAGCTTAGAGGAGAAGTCGATGGCGTCACAATAAGTGGCGGGAGTGAGGAGATAAGAGTGAGTGTCTATGGCAAGTTGCAGCTTCTCGGCTGAGGTGTGAAGCCTTTTGAGGAGGGAAATTTTGAGGGATTGTTTCATGTTGCTGATGTCTTCACCCAAACTTCTCACCAGCTCTGCTGCTTGGTTTGCAGCATCTTGTATCTCGGATTTGAATGCGATTCTGAGGTTATATGGAGCCTACAAGAAAGGTTTATAAGATAGATCATTAGCATATTTATCAGATACTTTGTTAATGCATCTGAGCAACTTCAATCTGAATCTCTATATATTCTTCTTGTTATGCAAAGAAAAAATGAATATACAACATCTTGGGCTCTTGTTCAACCAGAGTCACATTTGTTTTTGTTTTGTTGGGTTATTTGGATGACAAAAATAAACTTTATAATAGAAACACTATCGTTGATTATTCGATTCTCTTCGAACGGCAGGATTTTCTATATTTTTACAACAGTATGATTTTGTCCATTTTAGATTTTGCTTTCGAGTTCCATTCACATCTTCTTTACTTCTAATTCATTTGAGACTATGTTCACATCTTCTACCGATTAATTCATATTTTGGACTTTTTAACGACAAAAAGAATGGGAACGAAGAAGAAAACGAAAGAAAGAGCAAGACCTGGATTTGAGAGTGGAGAAGGCCATGAAGAGCCATAACTTCATAAGCACAGTATCTCAGAACAGCTCCAACTTTAACGTACTCCGCCCATGGATAGAAGAACTGTCGGAATCTACCGTGCGGCGGCTCCCATTTCGCCGACGTCGCCTTTCCAGATCAAAGAATTATCATTCCATGGTGACGATCAATACTTAAGGAAGGAATTAATCATAAAACATACCAAAGATTCAAACTTTGCCGAGGAGTTTAAGGTGGCTTTGAATTTCTTGTAGGCAGGTTCGTCTGGAAACTCATCCATCAGAGCCTTGGGGAGCTGGTTCTGCTGCGATCCCTCCTCTTCCAAATACTTGTTCACACATTCTGTCAAATTTTGATCCATTCAAATTGAGCTCATTTGTTTAAACGATCAAGAGACTTAATAAGATTTATATAAACGACAAAAAAATACCTTGGAGTGAATTAGCCACCGAGTCGAAGGTGGAGACGAGCTCTTTGTGGAGCTGGTGGCCAGCCCATATGGGGAAAACAAGAACATTTACCAAGACTGCAACGAATCCTCCGATGGCTATGGTGTAGAGCCGATCCATGGCGGTTCTCAGCGGGTTCCCCATTCGATACCCAGAAACCACTATCAAACAGTACGTGAAAAGTATAACTCTGAACCCATACTCGTATGGAGTCAGCGATGGCCATAGCTTCATCAATGATGTCACAGCTCCTGTTCAAACATATCTTTATTCACGTCATTACAACTTTTTAAAAACATTCGATTTTGCGTATATCACTGTCTAACATCATTTACATGACACGTTCGTTGTGCCATTGTGTATTTTTAAGTGTTAATCCTTAAATAATACAACGAACTTTTGAGTATCTACGAATTTTGTCGTTGAATTCGTGTTTAGTAGATTTTTGAAACTACAGGACCAAATTTATCATTGAAACCTGGTTAAAAACTTTTTTGAGTGTGAATTTTGAGAGGGGTTACCAACTAAGAAAATGCTTATGCCAATGATGATGGGTTGTGCAACAGGGCCTGTGCGCAAAGCAAGTTGGGCAACACCTATGGCCAAGATTCCTGCCAGTAAACTTCCCAGTGCTCTGTTGAAACCACGATTGAAAGTTGCACCTAATTTCACCAAAAAAAAAAAAAAAGAGAAAAAAACTTCTTAATTACCATATTACATCATATATATTCAAATTTTTTAAAAATCAAAATGTGGGGGGTTTTGTTTTTTCAATCTACAAACCAACTGTATATTCGAACATTATGGCGACAGTGATGATGGCCCATATGATATTAGTCCCAAAGGCATCGTATGGTGCTTGAAAAAGTATAAGCAAAGACACCAAAACAACAGCCAGCCCAACTTTGAGGGAGAATTTAACTCGGTTGCTATCTTCTTTGCAAAAATCCCAAATGCTCGATATCGAGGCTCGAAATGAAGCAGCCAAGTTCTTGGATTTCCCACTCGATCCCTTCGTCGGAGGCTCGGGTTTCGACGGGAAACCGATGATGTCTATCTCGATACTGCTCGTTTTGCCATTCATTCTCAAGTGGAGTAGTCTATGATAAGTTTGGTGATTATCCAAGAGAGACTTTGGAGGTGAATTTGGTCTTGGAAAGAGGAGATTTAAAGGGAAAAAAAAGTGGGGGGTTTGTGATGGCATCTAGAGGAAGATTGTATGTTTTGTCATGAAAGGATATTTTGATTTAATAAGAGAGGGAAAATTGGAGGGTAATGACTAAGAGATAAGAAGATGCCCATAAAACCCTTCAATAATGCAGCAAATATGTGGAGAATTAGAATCTAATTTTTGCATCCTATATTTGCATGCATGGCTTCATAAATTAGTTTATATTATATATATATATATTTGACATGTGCTTTTTTTCTTGGAAAATATCTTCACCTAGTGGCAAAATGGGCAAAGTTGGTCAAAGTTCATCTTGGATCAACCATTGAACCAGGGCTTCATTATCTCACCCTAAACTTTGGTCCTAGCATCTCTTTTGTTCACCAATTTTGGCCGGATTGTATTTTTATACAGGTTTGTTTGAACTTTTAAATTATGATATACGATTTAATATTTATGAATTTCATACCTTTCTAAACAATTGATAATGAGGAGAGTAATCTGTTTATATTATATATATAAACTTTTGTTAATCAGGTAATTTAGTTACTTTTTCAACGTGAGATCTTTAACAATATAATATATAAGAGAGGTTGAAAATTATTTACATAGCTATGATAGATTAATTTTATCTCTCTTGAAAATGAAGTGAAATAATAATTTTTGTGGTAATTTTGTATTTTAAAGACAACGTAGAATACTGTTACAAATAATCCTTAGTATTTTAAGTAATTCTTAATTTGATTCTTTGCATAGGAAAAATTCTCAATTTTATTCTTAATAGGTAAAAAAAATTCTCAATTAAGTTATTCCACAATTATTTATTTATATATATATATATATATATATATATATATATATATATATATATATAAATATATAATTTGTTAATATAGAGCTATGTGTTATTAAACAATTGTTTTTTTTAATATATTTGGATATTCAAGTACGTCATTTTGACATGCCTAACATTTAACCTTTTTATGTGGAATATATAATAGTATTTGATAAAAAAATGTGTGATTATAGGGTATTGTTCAACGATTAGAAAAGTAGAGATTCAACCATTGATCTTTAGTAGTAGGTGTTCTCGTCAATCTATTGAGAACATGCTTGGATTTACATATATAAACACACAAAACAATTTTATGGAGTGAAATTTTCTATTGCATGTGTATGCTTTTTTACCAAATAAAAAATTTGTATTCATAAAAAAATTAAAATAGCTTGATTTATTTAATTTTGGTCCGTTTTGAATTTTGGCTCATTTGATTTCTAAAGTTTAATAATAATTTTTAAGTCAGTTTTCAGTTAATATAGGATGGGAAATCGGATTCTGGTTGGAGATATATACTAAATACCATTAGATTATGCTCGCCTTAGCTTGTTACCTTTTATTTTACTAACTTATAATTATTTTTTCTCTGAAAAGTCACCAACTTATCATTAAATAGGATGAGACCTTGAAGCATAATTAAGAAAGAATTTAAAAGAATTTATATTATTATCCATACTAACAAAGGTGCGCCTGTCTTTCTCGAGGCCAAATTATAGAAACTCAAAAGTTAAACTTACTTGGTCCTGAATAATTTATAGTGATCATCAGACCTTAAAGTCGTTGTGTGTAGACCTACTTAAGTTTTTCATTTATGTGTTCATTTATTGTTTTTTATTTTAAGTAATTTTTAAGAATATTTTCAAATAAATATAACCGTTTCAAATTAAGAAAATGAGAACTCATTTGGTAATAGTAATGTTTCTTTGTTTTTTTTTTGTTTATCTTTCCAATTTTTGAAAAATATAAGCAATTGTGTTTCCCATTTCCATCCCCCAAGAAGTTTTTTTTTTAAAACAACATAATCAAATTTTTTGTTTTTTTTTTAATTTTTCGTTCTTGTTTTCATTTTTTTGAAAAATATAAATGAAAGTACTATTTATTTTATCATTATTGACTTATAAAATCATAATAAATATTTTAAAAAATAAATAAAATGTAAAAGAAAAAGAGTATTTAATTAAAAATTAATTTCATATAAAACTTTTACTTTTTAAATTTAAAATGACAGAGAACAAAAAATAAAGAATGATTAAATTTCCTCAATAAAAAAGAAACAATATAAAACAAGGAAATAGTTATCAAACACAATTTTTTGTTTTCTTTATTAAAGAAGAAAATCGAAACAAGAAAATGAGAAATAAGAAACAGAAAACAAGAATATCTTACCAAACGATCCCGTAGAATCCTAAAATAATGTTGGAACTAAACAAAGTGACGATGTGATTATTAAAACATAAGCACCCCCAACATAATTATATTCCTCATACTTTGGTATATAGCTTGGGAAACATGGAATACTTGTTGACAAACACTACTCTCCCATTCCCACCCCTTAATTATACATTCCAACTCTTCATCCTTATTCCCAAAGAATAGAATTATCATAACACACAAGAACAAGTAGCCATAATAATACACAAAAAGCATAGCCCATCAAAATCTGATCCTCTCTCTCTCTTTTCCAGCATCACCATTCTTGATCAATAGTGGGATGCTTTTTTCTTTGTAACCCCAAATTCACAAGTATCCATATAGAAAAATTAGCCTTTGATTGATTTACGATTTCATTTCAAGGAGTTTAGTACATCGCTAGAAATTAGATTTTTGCTGACGTTACAACACGTACTTTTGTTCCTTTTCTAGACACACATATACGTAATTTGGGTTTCTATTCGTTTCATAATTTGGATTTTAATATCTTTAAGAATCGATTCTCTTGGGATATTTTTCAGATAAATGAGAGATAAAAAGGTTATTAATTCACAAGTCTAAGCAGACAGGTTTGAAGATCAGATTTTTGAAAGATTGAAATATTATTTATGGATGGAGATATAGAGAAATGTAAATATTGCTTGGAAAGGGAACAGCCTTTATTACCTTAATTCATGTATGTAGAAAGTGTAGTGGGAATTTATTCTTTCGAACTAATCAGCTAAACATTAGCTTTATGTATGCTGATCAAAACCAATCATTTGTGTTCAAACCACTATCTAAAAATCTAACTCGACATATTCGGATAAATTATTGATTTTTTTAAATATATTATTCGTAGGGAATTCTCGAATATGAGACTAGCTGAGGAAATAAGGTGGAAATTATAATATTTCATGAGGTTATTGAATTGTAAATTTAAAAATTTTAAGTTGGTAGACTATGATAAATTTAACATTTTCGGTACTATAAAGTTCAATTGTGGAATAACATATGAAATGGAAAAGAAGAAAAATGATGATTGTTGGAGGGAAAAATATGACTTACTATGTGGCGAGATATGACCAAGCTACCGCCGAGCTCCTAAGCTCACCTACGGTCGAGCTCAGTTGCCACGTGGCTGACCTCGACAGCTCGGCTGAATTTTGCATCAACAGTTGGCACCGTCTATGGAAATCGACAATTTTAAGTTATTCCTACCAAACCAAGCTATGACTCGCACAGTTTCTCAAAGCTCTAGTACTCCCAGCAATCGGGTGGACCTCCAAAGCTCTTCAAGATCTTCTTGTTCAATATCTTGGTTGAAGAGAAAGACTTCATCACTTCGGATGACTTTCCCCTCGATGAAGACCTCACCTTTGAGGATGACTTTCTCTCCAAGAAGACCTACTCACTACGGATGACCTTCCCATCGAGGAA